CGCACACATCCTTATATGAAAAGGGTTTTATAGACATATCTTTTACAGACATAACATATATGAACGTTCACACAATCAAACATTATACGTGGGTTTGTTCATTGACACACTGAGCCGCACACACACACTCATGTTTCACACACACACACACACACACACACACACACACTGAGTCACAGGATCGCAGATCCTACTTGGCAGGGCCCGGCGCATTGTGCGGCCCTTTGGCTCTGCTCTGATAAACACTTCATTATGAAACCCTGAGGACACAGTAAATATTTGCCGAGGGCCCTTATCAGCCTGCCTTATCTTGGAGTGAACTCTCAGGCACCGCATGACTCCTGGGCCCTTTATTTTCTTATAGTCTTTGCCACCGCTGTCAACTTCGCAGAATAGCCTGCAGAAAACAGTTCCCCTCTGAAAGGGGAGTCCAGGGCCCTTTTTGCACCGCAACAACAGGAAAATGCAGGCAATGGGCGTTTTTATTTGGTCTGAAGGTGGCCGACCGCATGTTGCCCTGCTTACAAGCACCACCGGCCCTGTTTTACCTGCTCAAGTGACTGATAGTAGAAACACATTTACAGCTGCGGAGTTAATCAGTTATGGGTCAATGTCTGGCGTTGAGTTCCCAGACGGACACATCCATCCCGGCCCGTCTGACCTCAGATATCACTCGCCATTCCAGCTTTCTGAAGGGTTCACTGTGAAAGATGAGTTAGTGAAGCGGCTCAGAGGATCATTCAGATGGGATTGATTTTGTCACGCCGATGAGCAATCAGTCCAGCTGTAAGCCAATACAACACAGTGTCACCATTCACTCCTTCATCTCATGTACTCAAGCACTGTACTTAAGTAGAAGGTACTCAAGGTACTTCTCTTGAGTATATCGTTGTAGTTTGTACTCAGTTTGTACTCAGTAGCAGCAGTAGAGTTTATGGGTTGTAGGCCTATTAGCGCTTTAAAGATATTTAAACTGGTTAAAAAAAGGAAAGTACTGGTTTGGTTGAAATCTAGGGCACAGAGCAGGTTTAATAATGAAGTCATAATGCAAAAGAGATCATTTCTATAACCCATCTGTAGATCATTACAGTCTTTAGTTTCCATGAAGCTGCTTTATAAAGACGTATGGACGAGATCTAAAAGGTGGATGGAAGATAAAAGATAAATATGGTGTTAAAGGAACATGTTTTAATTCCCCTACTCCAATAAGTAATGTTGCCCCATTGCTGCTTCCTCGCGGTTAAAGCTGATTTTAGTATCATGGAGCTTAAGAAAGACCAAAATGATCATGTGGGAACATGAGTTTACAGCCAAATCATTTAGGTCATAGAGTTACAGATGGATGATCGATCTATGCAGCAGATGAGGGCAGCCATTGTTGGTCTTCAGGAGGTGGAAGACGTGAGACCAGATGTGGTGGTGCTGACTCTGCAGAAGTTCTTATATGTTTACAGACTGTAAAGCAAATTAAGGACGATATAATGTTTGAAACTTTTCGCTGTTTATTTAGAATTCAGAGGTTGGGAATACTCATTCTGCAGGTACCCCCACATGGGGGATTAAATGGAGGCATATAACGCACATTCAGTCTGGTAGAGGACCATGCTATGACTTATTTATGACTGTTTTCGACACACTATACTATGACTGTTTTCTGTGGAGCCGATAAGCAGGGAGCAGGTATGCATGTAGCCTTAGAAAGTGGAGTGGGGAGTGAATTATAATGAAGCACCAGGCTTGTTCGGGGCGAGCCAGGCCGCACAACGTGTGTGTTGGTTAGATTTGAATCCGACTTGATCCTGACAACCTCACGAGGTCGAGGTGACCGCCGTTTTCAGAGCCAGACGCCGCAGTTGCTCCGCAAGTCCCTGGGCATGATGGGAAATGCCTGGCTGTCGCCCGACCAAACAGCTGATTGGCTCCTAGTTTTTGTTGACAACAAACACCATGTTTTGTAGAAAATCCTAATTTTCTGTGCAATTGCAATATTCAACGCTAGTTTGTAGGCTATTATTCTCATGCTGTGCAATGAAGGTTTAATCTGTTACCAAGCATGTTTGTGGTTGATCATAACAATAATAATAATAATGGTTATTTATAGCACAAACAAAGCAGCAGAGACATGGAGAGAACAAAGGATAGAATATATAACGGCAGCTACACACAGCTTTCTGTGACTTCCTGTGTTTTCTTTGAAAGCGTTGGACTTGACCTCAGTGTTTTGTCATCTTCCAATGCTGCTGATCTCGTCCACTCCTCGGCTGAGGCACAGTTCACCTCCAACAAGCCTAATAATGTAGGAGACAAATAATGGATAGCAGATTAAAACCCGCCTGGTGGCGTTGTAAAAGACATTAAATCCCTCTAATGTGTCTCTTTTGTCTTGTGGTCTAGACACTCACTTTAAATGGCATCCGCTTCGTCACGTTGTTGCTTTCAAACGAGGGCTCCGGCGCGAGCAGGTCCCTTTCAGAAGCTTTGTAATTCAACATGGAACAACAGTGTTTTTGATAGAGACCTTACAGAACTAATAAAAGCAACAGTTAATGTTTTCTGTAATTAGTTCTCTATTTATCCGTATTGACGGGAGTTGATGTTGTTGTAAACCGTTGGCTGAGGCCCACCGGGGATTACGGCTGGTAGGAAAGTCATAACAAGGAATGTTGTGGTGATTTTTGGCGGCCCCGGGCCTTTAGAAAACCTCTCATTTGACTGCGGCATGGTCTCAGTCTACCCCGCATGGTTTTGGTTGTGTTCTGGTTCTCCCCATGCTAGAGCAGACCTAGTAATACGGCATGGTCCACCAGCAGCGTGTTGTTTGATCTATGTTGGCTACAATGTTTACCCCCCCCCCCCCAATCACCAAGGCAGAGAAGAACACATTTCAAAAGTCTTGTTGACTTTCCCATATTTTGTTAAACGTTGACATGACAGAATGCATTTTACTGTTGGTACCCCCAACACAATCTCCAGTGATTTCATTCTGCACTTCTGCACCTATGGGGTGAGTCAATATATTGATACATTTTCTGTTCAAAATTTGGTTACAACCATCATCAGTTATGAAAAACACTCCGCCCCTCATCCAGACGGACTCTCAGCCTGAGATACCGACACATTCTACCGACTCTCCTGTGGATCTGGGCTCCTGATCAATTTCCATTTTAAAATCCCAGACGTCATTCCCTCAGATGGTGCTGACCTACAGATCATGTACTATTCCGTATTTATCCCTGTACCAGAGCCCACCTACAGGTCAGTTCTTCCTTGGTTTGGGATCGGGGACACCTGGAAACTAACAGGTCAGTGCTTTTATACTGTGTGCTGAGGGCCCCATGCCAAGTAGTGCCACAAGGCAGCTGGGCTCCTCCAGAGCTGCAACATCTGATGTGTTTACTGTGAGAGGTTCATGTAGTGTAGGAAATCACAGCCCGACAGTCTGAAGCTTTGTTTTTTTGAAAATGATTTTTATTGGGAGAACTACAAAAAAAAAAAATGTACAGTACAAAGTTAAGTCTCACACTCAATTTGTAGTGAACCGACTCCCCCCCCCCCCTAAAAAAAAAAGATCACAACTCTCGTTGCCTTTTTTGTCCGTTTGTTACATTCAAAAAGCTTTACTTCTGATAAAGTAGTCAAAAGTACATAGTGCGCTTCCCCCTGTACCTACTATGTACAAAACCAAACATGTTCATCCACTTCCCTCTCCAGCAAACTAAAGACTCAAAACTAGATTTCAATATCAAAAAAAAAAAAATCTAATTAGAGGAGGAATGGAGATTTAGAAAGGTTAGGGTTGTTTTTGTCAGCGTGTCTGAGTGGTAACAACCTTTAAGAAATAAAAAAATTTCAGAATCCAACACTACATTCAGTTCAACCGGTGTATAAAAGATGCCATTTAGGAAAAATACTTTATTTGGTTAATTTTAAGGCATGTCAAGATGGTGAACCCCATATAGGCACTACACAATAATACTGGGGCACAAGGGATGCTACATTCTTTAGCACGTGGCTGGAATCACAGTGTGACCTCGTGCAAACAGAGAGAAAAATAAATCAAAATTAAAATACTTTTTGGTTAATTTATTGACTTGGGTTCTTTGTCACTGAAGTCTGATCTAGATCGACAAAAAGAAGTAAGGTTTGGACGGTCTGTACAACCACATTGTTTATACATTCTACGGAAACATCTAAATAGGGATCCTCAAAAAAAAAGCCTTCTACAGCACTGACAACCTCAGGAGCAAACAGCAATCACGCAAACTTTTTTTTTTAATAAACGTAAACAAAATTAATGAAATAAATATCACATACGTTGTCTTAAATTAAGATTTTTTTTTTTTTACTCATTTACAATAAAAATAACCGAGTGAAGTTACAAAAAAAAAAAAAAAAAAAAAAAGAGGAAAAAAACAAAATATATATATTACTGTGAAAAGAACATACACTCCACTTTATGCAGATTAATAATGGCGACCATAATTTAAACATAAAAGAATATAGATCTATTGCTTCATCATACTTGATAAATACAGTATGGACACAAATTACCAATGTAGCCTATACTTTTTTCACAAGATAATAAATAAGTTAAATAGTCCATAGCCAGTTATGCACAGCTATGTATATCACTCAAAAAACAGCTAAAAAAATATATATTCAACCATCAGCAGTGATTTCCCCAAACAAACCCAACTCGAGAGTGCTTTTCATCCAAGCAACGAACTAGACTAACCGACCGAACCACTGGGTGGCGCTGGGAGAAGACAGATCTGGAATGGAAGTTGAAGCTTTCAGAGAAGAAAAAGAAAAAACACTTTGATAAAGAGGACAAAAAAAAAATAAATGTTACTTTGAGTCAAGGCATATTCTTGGCAGGATGGGAGGAAATCTGAAAACTGCTTACAGTCTCTTCTTGTCAAGTCATGTTAACACATCTAATCCCAGGAAAAGTGTGGCTTGCCTGATAGAGCAAAAAAAGGGAGAGGGGGGCTGCCATGAAGCCCTAGGGCAAGGCACTGATGGAATGCCTTCTGTTTGCTATCTAAGTTTTAATACAGCTATATTACATACATGGAGGAAAAAGAAATACTAAACTAATGCCAGGTCAAGGACACTTAAATGTCTGAAGCTTTACTGATCCCTGTGGGGGGGAATCCTCTACTCTTGCCCCCCCTCCAGGGAGGTCAGAGCAGGGTCAGCACCCCAGGAGCTGTAGGGACTCAATGTCTTACTCAAAAAGGCACTTCTGCAGGGTGGTTTCTGCTGAAATGGGGGGTGGAGGGCACGGGGGCAAAAGGGGTCTTGACCGGGATCCTCTGCTTGAAGGACAGTCTACCTCACTCACTGACAACCCATGGCTCCTCAAACCACCCTGCCGGACCAGTCCATAAATCCATATGAAAACAAAAAAAGTGAAGAAAACACGATTAGTCATCTGAAATCGACAGCCTGCTGAAGATTGGCAAACGCTTTCCAGCGTCCAGACTCGGGGACTCAGAGCCGCTGAGGCTCCCGGAAGAGCTGAGGGACCCGCTCGCATAACTCTCCCGGTCGGAGAGCGAGTCCGGCGGGCTGGGAGGAGGCTCGAACACCGAAGACTCGCTGAGGCGGCGCAGCGCCTGCAAGTGGCTCATGTTGTATGTCGGAGGAGAGGGCGGGCACGCGCTGCTCTGCATGTTCCCGTAGTAGGCACCGGTGGAGTGGTTGTTGGCGTAACCGCTCGGGGTGTGCACAGCCAGGGGGGCCAGTAAGGCTTTTAAGTCCTGTCCGGGAAAGGAAAAGGCACTGTTGATGCAGGACACGGAGTTGGGAGAAAGCACGTCGTCGTAGAAGCTCGAGGTGGAGGTGCAGGAGGAGGAGGCGGTGGTGGGCGGCGGTGGGGTCCGCGACATGGGGCTGTCGAGCAGGGGAGACTCGAGCCCGTGGTGGGTGGAGAAGCCGGAGAAGCTTAGGCTGTGGTGAAGCTTTGGTCTGTCCCTCTGGGTGTAGCCGAGCTGCGGCAGGATGTCCCTCTGGCCGTAGCCGCACAGCTCGCGAGCAGACCTGGACTCCCCCGCCTGCATGTTAGCGTTGGCGGGCGGAGACGGCCGGCGCTCGTCGGCGTTGTGGATGAAGTGACACCGGGGACCGTACGGACAGAAACCGATAGTGTGGAAGGTGCGGCACGGCTCAGTTTTGTACTTAGGGTGGCGGGACAAGCTCCTCAACTCGTGGTAGCCGTGAGCGAACTGACACTTCTCCCCGTACTTGCACGACCCGTTCTCCTCGAAGGGCCGGCAGAGCTCGGTCTTGTAGCGGGTGGAGTTGATCTGAGAGCCGGGCTTCTGCTGCAGCACGCCCCGGTCTCCGTTGTCGCTGTAAGCGCGGTCGCGGAACTTGTTCTCCTTGTTCATGAGGGCCGTGGCGCTGATGTTGCTGCTCGGCGTGTTCTCCTTCAGGCTCCCGTAGGAGCCCATCGAGTATTTGTTGCCGTTGTTCATTGCCTCCAAGTTGCTGGTTGAGTTTCTGCGGAAAAATCCCGGTGTGAAGGGGCCACCGGAGCCCGGAGTCGTGACCGGAGCCCCGACCGCTTTCTTGTCCAGCATGCTGTTGATGTGGAGGGCGTTCATGTTCATGCTTTTATCTTGCTATAGGAGAAAAAAGACACGAGTTAGTTACCAATGCACGTCTGGCACCAATTTTCTTACTATTTTGACCACATGGCACGTTTAGGCTGCGTTCGCCTGCAACGTGACAACCTGTTGCAGCTGAACACATGCAACAAGTCGGAGCGCGCTAACGTTAGCGCTTCAAATAAAACTCCCCATATCTTGTCAAACATTTACCTTGTAAAGCATGTCCATGTCGTAGAACGCAGACAAGACGGCCGCAGACATCTCTTTTCCCCAAGTTTGCTGCACTCCCTCTTTCATGGAGGAACGACCAGGATCCTTGAACGCGACGTGCGGAAGCGTTAGTTTGTGCCACGACTGGTTTTGGTTGAGGAGAAGTTGCCTTTAAAAGTTTGTGTGCAGCTTAAGTCCGCAGAAGAAGGAGGTGGAGAAAAAAAGGAGGGTGTAGGTTTTGTATTGTTGAGTCGTAGGTGGCTTTATGTCCTCCCCTCGAGAAGCGCTGAGCCAGAGTGCTTCACTGTGCGCTCGAGTCTTTTTACATGGGTATAAATGCCTGGCGGTAGCCAGGGAGGGGCGAACTGAAGTCGGTGCAAAGTTTTGCGAGGAGCCGCCTCCTCCCCTCCTCCCGGAGGAAACTTCCACTCACCGGTTGGCCGTCTATTCTCTAACACCACGCCTTGAAATCCAACCCCAGCAAACGCCCCCATCCTCCTCACACCCCTCTAACTCTACACCCCCCCCCCCCCCCCCACACACACACACACACGCTTTTAATCACACAAACAATTTTGTGGAAGTTGGTTTTGCTTTTTTTTGGTCAACTCTCGCTGCGAAAGAATGTAGAAACACATCAGGAGAACGTCTACTGCGCATGCGAGCTGTTCAACAGGAAAATTAACCGTACACACATCCACACCTGGGTCACACGTTAGGGGGGAGAGGGGGGTGCGCTTTGTGCCTTGCCCAAAAGCAACACATATGAATTTTGAAGAGACTCCTCAAAAAAACGACAAGTGACAAGGCCACCCATCTCCACCTCTGGACCCCCACACTTGGAAGCTGACAAATGTATTTGTAATGGAAGGAAACTCTCCCTCACTCTCTCAGGGTGAGACCACAAGTATGAGCGGAGAGGAGTCCAGGCAGAGTGCAAGCACAATTTTTAGCTGCAAACCGGTTGCATAATCGACTTCCACAGAGCAACAGCAGCCTATTCCTTCTTCTACTACACATGGCAAAGTAGACATGTTTATGCCTAGCGCGCGCACATGACCTACTTCCCTATTGTCTCAAAACTAAACATCAATATGTGGACTCCACCTCGAGATTAGAAAGCGCTCCTAAAGAACACGTTGAGTCATTCGAAACGCAAATCGGATTTGCTTTTGGTGAAATCTTTTTGAGCCACTCTTTAAGTTCCAAACTCCGACTTGTTTTTCTCACAATCTCAGCCCAGACTGCAGGAATGTGTTTTTTCAATGCGGCGCGGCAGAGCAACACTGCCCCCACAAGGGCAAGGTGAGAACTGCGCGGGGGAAAAAGACTGGAGCTCCCCCTGCTGGACAGAGCTGGAGCAAGATTTCAAGGCCCATTCAGATCCCATTTCGCAGTAATAATGTCACTCTCTTATGGTAGAGAATGTGTATTTTTTTATGTCCCCTGTGTTTTTTTTTATACAGTAGAGCTCCAGACACAGAGGGGCATCCATGTTTAGGGATGTTTTTGGTCATTTAACCACACAGCCTAACCCGTCACAACAGTCCCCCCCCCCGCTTTTTGGGAAGTCAAAGAGTGAAGTGCGGTTGCAATAAGCTGCCCCTGTCTCAGCGTGATGTAACCTTCTCAGGATGGCAGAATGTTCACATGAAAATGTCAAACTACTCCGCTGTGCTCTTGAAGTTAGCTCAAGTTTAAGAAAAATAAAAAACCCACAGTGGAAAGATTGCAGTGTTGGCAGCAGAGACTCCAACGAGACAGGAGGGTGTAGAAACGCTGTGCGACACATATCACCAGAAATTGCCGGTTTCTGCGACACCTGGTAACCATTAAGCCTTTTCCACATGGGATCATAATTGGAAGAGTGGTTATAAAAATAAAAATAACAGATTTGTCTCCCTGTGACATGATTCAATATTTCTTTAAGTGCTGCATGGTTTGGTTGGAGAAGCCGGGAGGGAGGTAAAACAAAAAGTGGGAGGGGAAATAGCAGGAGGGGAAATAGCAACAGGCAAAAAACAAGTGACATAAGAGCTTGGAATCTACTACTACCAACCCTAAAATTAGTCTGAGGGCTGCCCCAGGACTATTTGTGCTTTGCAAGTTGTGATAAATAGTTTAATGTGAAGGACAGACACGGCGAGGAACCTGAGAAATCCCTTGAACATGTCGTCGTCTGCAGAAAACACGCTCTCTCCCCCCATCACACGGCTCTGGATTTAAAATAAAGAAGTTGGGTGATGTTGTGCTGTTCCAAAACATTACGTCAGTTTTACTGTAACAGGGAACATGGCTACCAGGGAGGGAGAAGGGTCCAGCTGTATGAGAGGGCAGCATGGATCCCCACACACACACACACACACACACACACACACACACACACAGGACAGTAGTCCATTGTGCCGTCCTGCAGTAAATTAAATATCGCAGGAAAGTAACACCTCGTATAAACATACAGTAGAAGTTGGAGGGGAACACTGGAACACAACTTTGGGGACGTGTCAAGAGAAGTAAAGCCAGCGTCGCCGCACAATCACGCCATTGAAGTCGACGCTCGAAGCTTTAGTCATCGTTTTGTTCCCGACCCTTAAATCCCCGGTAAACTTGCGGACACCGTTGGATGCGTTTGTCGTGACCACATTCCCCGCCGATAGGAGCACAGCGCCGGGTGTTGCTGTGCCCGAGCTCCGGCACAGAGTTATTGTTATGGCTTCGGCACGCAAACACTCACACAGCCTTCCAATTATTGTTGACATTCAGCATTTTTTTTTCCTTTCGGGATAAAATAGGACTTGGGAAACCAAAGTGCAGTAATGTCAGACAATGTTTAATTGAAAAAAAGACATAGAGGAACAGCAATTGTAAAAATTAAAAACACATCTGGTAATCAATGAACACATGTCAGAAAAAGTGAGAGACAAGGAGAGAATAAAAAAACGAAGAATCCTGTTTCCTTCATTCCCTTGTTGTGATAATGATGAGAAGACTCGACCACAAAGCCAGTCTGTAGTCTCAAGTGTTCATTAAAGCATTCATCTGATACTTTTCTTTCATTTCAATATTAAGAACCTTGACTTTACCAAATTTTACCCTAAAAAATAAAATTAAAAGCCAAACAGGGCGACCTCCTCTACCTCAGCCTCTCCAGCACATCTAGAGCCAGAGTGGCCCTCTGGTGCCGCAGCAGCAGCCGGGCGTGCTCCATGGTGGAGGAGAACTGGGGCAGGGCAGGGAGGGAGTCCAGGGCCCGCTGGGAGCCGAGGGCCTGGGTTCGGGCCCGAGTTGACAGCGTACGGATTCGGTGGACCTGGTCCGGCCCTGAGAACCCTGGGGCCCGGGTCCGCTTGGAGGCCAGGATGAGGGAGCCGACGTGTCCGTGAAGCAGCTTCACCCACTGGACTGGCTCGGCCCACAGGTTCAGATCCCCCTTCTCGAACAGGAAATCCTCTTCGTCCTGGTAACAAGCGAAATGGGAGTTTGGTTACTGGGACGTTGATTTAAATCAGTATTAATTAATTAAATGTATTCTTTGGGCTGCTTTGGCAACAGAACAAGCTGTAAACGCAACAATTATAAAGTTTCAGCCTAAAGCGACGTATCTCTGTCCACTATGTAGTGTACAATGCCTCTCAGCTGTTTAACGAAACGGACAGCTACACAACGTGTGGCCGGAGGGCAGAAACCTTGGTGGCCTAAAACACTCAGCTGTTTTGACTGCTGCACTACTGTGATCAGAATAAAACAAAATATAGTGCCCTCTGTCCCTGTAATCCACACAGACACGGAGTTAGACCAACCCCGAATCACAGGCCAAATGCCTTAAGTGGTGATTTTACACTTGGTGCATAAACGTCCTATTTGATCCACCCTGGCAGCTAAGGAACAATCCGTGGTGCAGCCATAGAAAATGAAGCCGTGACAGCCTTCATGGTCATCAGTTTCACTTCATGGAAATCACAGCTGAGAACATGACGTCTAACACAGTGTTCCTGTGATGTTTTTGTGCTGCAGCGCAACGTCGTCAGTTAAGGTCACTAGTCAGTTAAGTCAGTTAAGGTCACTAGTCGCCCTCAAGGCTACGCGGCGGCTTCTCACCAGAACGTTGGCTTCGTCCGCAACCGCCTCCTCACCAGCGTCTTCATCTCCCAGCAGCCACTCTGTCAGAGCGAGGACGCCCGCCGGCGTCTGCCCCCACAGCTCGAAGAGGCGACACAGGAGCCCCACGCCCGAGTCCAGGGCCACCGGAGGACAGACGGACGCACCTGTCACATCTGAGGGCAGAAGGAGGACACGCGTTTATGCAAAGTCTGTAAACAGTGTTTAACATTTGAGACACACGAGGTTGACAGCCACAACAAGCGTGTTCAAAGGCCGTCTTTGCACCAAATCACAAACAGCTTTTTTGCTGCGTGCGACTGTGTCGAGTTTTTCCCACCCGTAGCCGACTTCTGTTGCCGTGTCATTAGGTGACCGTGTCAGCTGAGTGGTGGTTGGACTTCTGGTTTTGTTTCACCTTTAGTCTTAAGTTCAGCTTTGGAGTGACCCGAGGACCTCTGCCCCGGGATCTAAGGGGGTGCTCAAGCTCATAGAGAGGTAAGAGGTCAGGGAATCAACCGAGAAAGATTTAAACATGCAGAGTGCAGAACTGGGAAGAAATCTAGAAACAAAGCCCATAGAGATGTACTACGAGTGTGGCAAACACCTTGGTGATTCAGTTTGACCCGGTCTGTATTGCTGCTTCTTTACAGCAGTTAGAAAAATCAGGACGCACCATTAAAAGTATTAGCTAATACAGACTCGGAAACATCTGGAGCGCAGTGATGATATTAAACCTGAAAGTTCACGGCTTTGCAAGGAGTGATGACTCCTTTGGTTATAGAAGCATACCTGGAGAAATGTGTGCGTCGCACGTGAACTTAACCATCATTATTTGATCATTTATTCAAAGTTATTGATGTGAGGTTTTGTAATTTGAGGTCATTATCAAACAGCCTTTTAATCAAGTGTCGGGTCAGATGCGCGAGCACATCCTCGTATGAGCTCTTTTCTATCCAAATAGGTCACACATTAGCACGCTAACTATTCTCAAAATCTCATCTGTACAAAAGCATTTTGTGTTTTAATTTATTGATCGAGTGTGAATCTCCTCTCAGTCATATGACAGCATGACTCGGCTAAGTGTGATTTTCTTGATAGTATATTTACTATATACTATATTTACTATATTAACAGTATTAGTATTAATCACTTCTAAAAATGATTATGAATAGTTACTTGAGCCGTAATCAACAGAAGAGGTGGAAACATGTAACATAC